CACCTAGGAGGAAGGCCAGAAGCCCACCTCTTCTGCCCCCCAAGACCAGAGAGGGCTCTGGCAGCCCAGCCTAAGACGTCTTCCTGGCCAACAGCAGCCTAGGGAAACACCAGCCAGGCAGGAGCACAGGTAGGGCTGCCATGGGCTTCCTGCGGGGCCTCCTCAGGGCCCGGAAGCTACTGCTGGTCATCTGTGTCCCCCTGTTGCTGCTGCCTCTGCCCATCCTGCACCCCAGCAGTGTAAGTACCCCTGACCCTGGGGCAGGGCACACAAGGGAGGACACAAAGGGAGTGGGGAGCTTCAGCAGCACACCAAGATGGGTTACTGGGCATTTGAAGAGATGAACTTTGGGGAAGGGGTATCAACATATCTTCTTCCTGAAGCCTCCTCCCTCTTAGCCCCAGTCTCCAACCTTGCAGGCCCAGCCAGGTGTTAGGACACAGGGCACCTTGGCTGAAGTCACTGACAGGTGTGCATAGAGCACGGGACCGGGCACAAGGACCCAAAAGGACACACTGGGACACCATGTGAAGACCTTCTTTGCTACACTCACAGGGAGGCTCCGTGACACCAAGGGCAAGGGTGGGGGGCCGGAGGGCATCATAGAGTCGATCCAGCTCAGAGGTCGGTCTTGGTGGACGCTGATAGCCAGAATTTGAAAATCCAAATCATTGAGGCTCCCTGTGGACCACAGGGCAGACAAGCTAACGTTGGAAGTAGAGCCCGGCATAGTGCTGTGGCTCTACCTACACGGCCCTCTGGTTGTCTGCGTCCTCTGGGTTTTCTTCTCCATGCTTCTGAAGGACAATAGAAGACAAGCTAGAACAATGAGGCAGATGGGTGTGGTGACCAGTATCTATAGCCTCAGCTACTTGGGAGGCTGAGACAAGAGGGTTGCCAATCCAAGACCAGCCAGGACAATTTAGCAAGATTCTGCCTCAAAATAAATAAAAAGGGCTCACGATGCAGTTCTGTGGCAGAGTGCCCTTGGGTATGATCTAAAAAAGAAAAAGACAGCAATGTGGTCTCAAACTGGACTGTGGCCTAATTTTTCTCAGGGATGCTGTGAGCAGGTAGTGGTGCCTGGGCTCTGTGATTAATTGTTTTTGGGATCTTAAGTTCACCTCCCTTCCCTTTCTCTCTGCTCACCTCCTGGCCAGGCTTTATGTCTGTCCCCAACTGGTGCTACCCTTGAGATTTAGGGAAAATTAAGCCCCAGCAGGGGAATTCAGTAGTGGGAGGAGAAGAGCACCTTCCACCTTCCTGTCCTCCTTCAGTCACTTGGAACCAAAATTAAATTAAAAATTTAAATAGAGAGAGGATTGGGGTCATTCTTAAAGATGGGGGGGGTTTATGTCTTAGTAACAGCAATAATCTAGAGTGCCAGGAAACACAGAGCCCTGGGTGAGGATTAGCAGATGGTGATGGGTGCCGGCGTCTCTCCGGGGCTGGCCACGGGTCAGCGTCATTGTTGACCAGATGGGCCTTTTGGTCTTGTTTTTCTGGTGCTTTTAACTGAATCTCGGCTTAGTTTAAATAAATCAGGAGACCAGTTCCCTTCATCCCCACAGATGTTTTAAGGAACTTGTAAGGCAGTATCTACACACAGTAGGCACCCGCTGGGCGCCCAGCACCAACCCTGTCTTGTCTGTTCTTCACCCCAGTGTCAGAATTTTCCATTCTGACATGGAACCCCTAGAACCCCTGGGGTGGGGAGCAGTGGGCATGTACTTGGGCAGGAGCTCCCGTCCGGAAGTTCTGACGGTTCCTCGGGATGCTGCGCCACAGCTACCTCCCAAGAGAGGTACAGAGGACTCCCTGGAGGTGCTTGTCCTTCCCAGACGTGGGGGTAGGGCGGGGCTGGGGCTCGGTGGTGCAGTGCTCAGCTTACATTCACAAAGCTGCATTTCAGCCCCAAATAAAAACTGGAGTGGTTGCCAGAGGATGTATCTGTCACTGAGCCCTTCAGTGTCCCCAGCGGGATAAGAGCTGCATCCAACCGCCTAAGCTGAATTCTCCAAAGGCCAAACCAACAGATGTCAAGCTATTGATGAGCTTTCACAGTGACAGCCTGAGACAGTCTCAGGGTAGCCACATCCTACTCAGGGACCTGTTCCTTTTGAACTGTCTCTGTATTTTGAGCAGTAACCAACCAAACAAAAACAATTAGCACTGGTCCTAAAAGCGTTTCCTGAATACCTGCCAACTCCCAAATTCCAGATGAGCAGTGACATGGGATTTCCCAAATATTCCACCCTGTAAGAGAAAGGAGACCCGTGGCACCTAAGACAGAGCACTGCAGCATCTCAGGATCGGAATCCAGGCTTGGGAAGTGAATGCCAGAAAGACTGAGAGAACCGGAAGGAAGTCGCTGCGATTCGCAGGCAAAGGTGGCACAGGGGCTTCCTCCAGGAACCTTCCCCAGTTCCTTCCCCAGTTACTCAGCCTACTCCAGGTCTCCTAATTCAACCCCAAAAGGCACATGGTAGAAGGAAATTGTCTCGTCACTTCCTTTTCTTCCTCCCTCTCACTGCCGCCAGCCCAACTCCCTTGACTCCATGACCCTCTCCTGTCCAGGACACAGGCTTCCCAGTGAGCCAGCCTGTGCTTTTACCTATCTAGAATGAAGACCTGTCCTTGTCTCTTTCCCAGAAAGTCAGTGAGAAGAACTAAGCTCCAGATAGCCTTGAACTCCTTCAGGTAGTTTTATTTCCACTGCAAAGAGGGCATTTCTCTCAACTGCATATTTGTTTTCTTGTTTGTTTGGTATTTTTGGCGGGGTTTGTTTATTTGTTCATTTTGAGACAAGGTCTTGCTATGCAATGTAGTCTGACTTTAAACTTGCATATATAGCCCAGTCTGGCCCCAAACTCCCAAGGATCCTCCTGCCTCAGCCTCCTGAATGCTGGGATCACAGGTGTGTGCCACCACGACTGGCTCAGCTGCATTCTTTCTCAAAAGAGCTCTTTCCACCCTATCAGAATCTTTTGTCTTATTATCAACACTTCCAAAAGTCTCATCTCTTGACCCTGCCAGAGCCAACAGCCCACAGTCAGAGGCCCCAGCTCTGTGTCTGTCAGGAGGGAGCAAGGTCCCCTGGTGGGGGCTGCACTCACTGAGCTCAGGAGCCTTGTGGAACTCCGATGCAACAGCTGGAGGATCCTGGTTCTGTACTCAGGAGGTTGTAGCCGCAGCTGGGTCTGCTGGGCTCCTGGGGCAGCTGCCAGGGGAGGTTGTGCCCGAACCCAATGGCATAGAATTTGGTGAAAACTGAGAAATTCACAGCGTCACTGATTTTCTATAAAAAGGCCCTCTGAGTCCTGCATTGTGACAATGCCACCCTTAGCAGCCTTCCTCTGTACCCCATCAGCATCACTGGGGGCCATCAGCACAGCTGGAGGCCAAAGTGAAGGGAGGCTGGGTTTGGATAATAATGCACACTTATGTATTTGTGCATCCCTGGGGGACCCAAGAGCAGAGAGGGTGGGCTGCAGGGAATGCTAGGACTTTCTGGCCCCCTTCATGTGGATGGTGCTCTGTTGTCTTTAAGGGCTCCAAGAGCATTGAGCACCATTTTCAACAGTCCAACTGGCAGCTAGCAAGTTCAGACCAGAAATGTTGCTACTGTGTTTCCCTGAAAATAAGCCCTAGCTGGTCACTGCCATGGTACCCGCCAGAGTCCTGCAGAAGATTGCACCTCACTTTTCTCTTCCTTGGTGGCTGTTCTGTAAGGCAGGCAAGGCAAGGACAGACTGACCGGGGCTGGCATTTTTGATCTCCAGTTTTAAAGCTTGTTAGGTCTTATTTTCAGGGAGACATAGTAAATGCCTTACACTGCACGCCACAGCCCCACAACACAGGATTGTGCAGCTCGCTAGAGCCAAGGCTGAGAAACGTTGCGCTAGGAGTTCATTCTTCTTCCTCATCCACAATGAGGGTCCTGTCTCAGGACCACTGTCGGCCTCCCCCCTCTCCACCATCAGGCTCCGTACTGATCACAAATGACCCCGCAGGAGGGCTCACCCAGCCACTCAACAGCAGTGCTCTTCAGAAGAACCTCAGCCTGTACACTTGAGGGGGAGACATTCACCCAGCTCTTAGCTAGCAATTTATTCTATCAAAATTTACCAGTAAATGATGGTGCGCACCTGTAATCCCAGCTAAGAGGAGGCTGAGGCAAGGGGTTACTGGAGAGTACAAGTTTGCCACTGGCCTTGGCAACAACAAAACAAATTACTACTGGATAGATATTGTTTTAGCTAATAATCCGAAGTAAGGAGATGCAACTTCATTTGTTCATTTTTAAAGCAATGAAGCCTTTTTTATTTTCAAATAAAATCTGACATGTAGCCAGCACAGACTCAAAGGAGACCAGAACTACTGTCTCAGGGGCCCAGGCTGGACAGGGTCAGGGTTCAGGGCTTTGCTGGTCTCTCCATGTGGTGTAGATCATTCCTAAATTCACTTCTTCCTGGTACCTTGCCTTATGGGACGGAGGAGTGGGATACACGGACCCTCCAATCTCGTCCCTGTGCGATCCCAGGTCTGGAGTCCATCTGCAGCTTCGCCTCTGGTCTGGGTTAAAGCTCCGAACCCCACCACCACAGTTTCTCTCTGGGGGACTGAATTTCAGTTCCCGCCCCTGCAGTTTCCAGTTGCAGGCTCCATGCGCTGCGCACAGCGAGGACCATACATCCACCCAGCCTGGGCAGCGGCCTTGGCTTCACCCATGAAGTACGAGTCGGATTCCATATGCAGCTGCCTGGCGCAGCACCGCAGCTCCAGGCCTGCGCCCCGTGCCCTCTGCCCGGGCCCCAGCTGTCTGCGGACTCTCCCTGCCCCGGACTAACCCGCTCTTTCCTTCCCTCCAGGAGGCTGCGTGTGCCTACGTGCTGGTGGTGACAGCCGTGTACTGGGTGTCCGAGGCGGTGCCCCTGGGAGCCGCGGCGCTGGTGCCTGCCTTCCTCTACCCGCTCTTTGGAGTTCTGCGGTCCAGCGAGGTTAGAGCACTGGGACCCCAGCCCCTCCTGAGCGCCGAGCTTTTGCACCTACTCTCCCGGCCCCTCGGTTCTTCCCCTTCAGCCCTCGGCCCTCATCTCCTTGGAATGGGCTTAGAACTTGCCTCTGCCGGGAAGCCTTCCGTGGTTAAACACAGCCAGTGGGGCTTCCCTTTGGAGCCTGTCAGGACCTGCACGATGGCGCCTGTGAGTAGGCTCAAGCTCTGTGAGCTCGCCGCCGGCTCAGGCTCTTCTACGCCCATTTAGACCCTGAGCACGCAGTGGGAGGAGCGAGGCTTCGGGTTGCCAGGGAGCCCTTGCCTCTGTGAAGTGGGGTGCTCGGTGTTCGCTGACCACCCCACCGAGAGACCTGACCTTGTTTCCCTGCGTCCTGACATGCTTTCATCTTCCTTCCCCTCAAAAAAGAAAACCGGTTCTCCCTCACCAGTTCCTGACTATTGCAGGGTCTTTCTTTGCCTCCTTCCTCGACTCTGCCCTCTCTGGTCCCTTTCCGTGGCCTTCTCAGGAGCTCAGAGAGAGGCTGTCAGTAATGATAGGAATTTCAGGGTGAGCATTCCAGCTGGCCCCAGTCGGGAGGCAAACGGCAGCTACAACAGGAGCCCTGCGCGCGGAGGGCCTAGCTCCTCAACAGCTACCCCGCCTTGCAGCGGCCCTGGCCTCTGCTCAGCACTTCTGGTGGAGAAGACTGAATGACAGAGGCGAGGAAGACACAGGGCAGAGGACAAGGGGAGGGAACTGGTGCTCAAATGCCTACCAAGAATCAGGCACTACCCAGCATTTGTGCCTGAACACAGTACTTTCAAGATCTCCCCACGCGCATGAGGAAAGAGGCTCCACGCTGAGACTCTTGTCCTCAATCATAAAGAAACAGCCAAATGATTTAAACTCATACCAGACTGATTTCAGGGGCTACTCTTGCCTTCTATGTCATAAGAAAAACGTTTTGTAAAGTATTAGATGGCTTTGTGAGGTCACAACTCCAGAGTTATTAGGAAGAATAATTCTCAACCTCTATAGTATGAGAAAACAAGAATGAAGCTGAGCCCATGGGATGCCTTAGCCCTGGATAAAAGAACTTTTTTGAAAGCACAGAATTAGGCAACCCCAGTAGTTACACTGGACCACAGATGAACATATATGTCCACTGAAGGACATTACACCAGCTTGTTTGCTTTGACCTCACATAGCTGTCCTCTTGCTTCTTCTGTTATTCCCCCGTTGGTGACACTGCGTAGTCAGAGCTTCAAGCTCTCCAAAAAGGATAGGATCCCCAAAACTCCCAACGTAGCTTCTGTCCCCCAAGACATACACAACACTGATGTCATGCAGACCGGTGTGCTAGCCAGTCTGTAACAGGAACCACCAGGCGGTCACTCCAATCTTTGACCCTCTTTTATGGAAAAAAAGAATAAGCAAGCTGGGTTTGTCCATGCCTAAAAGAAAGATCAACCTTGAACGTGACTTTTCTTAAAAAATGTATACAGACTTGTTCTGTAGATTTCTCTCTGAAATTGTGAAAACAAAACTTCCTGGGGCAGAGGGTGTAGGAAGAGGGACAATAATGAAGTTGAAAGAACTGAACAACATGCTACAGTGAGATAATGATTCATTAAGAGACTTCATCTTTGCATTTTTCTGTGGGGAGCCCCAAAGCCCGTCGGCCTCAGCCTTAAGGCAGGCGATGTCTCTCCTCCCGGAGCTGCCTGCACTGGACCACTATACATTCCGCTGTACAGTGTTGCCAGGCAACAGCTATCCATGGGGTGCCTCTGTACCCAGCCAGGAAGGCCAACCCTAGAGGGAAGCTCCAGTAGCAGCAGCAGTTTGCAAGTTAGCAGGACTTCATGAAGAGGAAGGGAAAACAGGCCTGAGGCATTGCACCTTGCAATTGCTGTGCACCGCAGGCAGAAGAGGGCATTTTTATCATTTGAGGTGAAAAAAAAAAAAAAAAAAAACCACTCTAATCCATCTGTCTGATGAAATGTTCTGGCCAGTGTTGATATTTAGCAGTTGGGCCACAGGGAATAGCTTAGTGCAAATGTAGTCTGTTTTTGGACCGGGGAGATGGCTCAGTAGAATAAGCGCTTGCCTGGCAAGCACAAAGGCCTGAGTTCAATCCCTGGTTCAGGGAAAAAAAAAAAAAAAAAAAAAAAAAAAAAAAAAAGTGTAGTCTGTTTTGCAGACCTTCTCAGCTTAGATTAAGGACAGTATCAGTAAGGTAGGGGGCTTGTAGTCCTTTGTGAGCCAGTAAACTTTACAGAAAAAATGCTAGCGCCCTCACACAGTAGGTGCTTTAGCTCATAGAAAAGCCAGGCTACTGCTTCCCAGGAATCCTCCAGCCCTCAGGTAGCAGGTCCTGCCGCACCCCAGCTTGGGCTGACCACCCTCAGGCCATACATCCACCTTGGTAAATCTCCCCCCAGGAGTAGTGGCACACATTTGTAATCCCAGAGCTCAGAAGGCTGAGGCAGGAGGATCGCCATGAGTTCCAGACCAGCCTGGGCTACAGAGTGAGACCCTTAAAACAAACAAGCAAAAAAAAAAAAAAAAAAAAACCTCTCTAGTCTCTCCAACTTTTAAAGTTCTACTTAGTTGAAAGATTGATCCCTTCCCTTTGAGCCTATGAGCTATTCCTATTTTTTCCCCTCTGAGGCTATGGGATCTGCAGAGAAACAGAACAAAACGGAGAACCAGCTGGATACAGATAGGGAGACTTAGGCAGACTTAAAGGTAGATGTGTTACCAGGAGTGGCTTACTTGGCTGTGGAGGCTGGGACACCCTGTGATCCACCACGCGCACGCTGGTGACCAGGAGAGGCCAGGCTGTAACTCCGGATGAGTCCAAAGGCCTGAGAACCAGGGATTGTCCATGAAAATCCCAGTTCCAAGGGCAGAAGATAAGATGAGATGTCCCCAGCTCAAACAGTGAGGCCGGGAAAAGGTCACATTCCAGCGTCCTGCCTATACCTTGTCCTCTACGGGCCCTCCGTGCATTGGGTTCTGACCATCCATGCTGCAGAGGCTGTCTGCTTTACCAAGTTCCGAGACTCGGATGTTAACCTCATTTAGAAATGCCTTCACTAAAATACCCGGAAATGGTGTTTAATCCAGACGCTTCCTAGCCCACAAACTTGACCAACACAAATACATATAAAGGGTCACTTTTTATGGTACAATACTGTGAGGAGCTCCCCAGTCCACGTAAGTGAGAATTCAGGAATAGGTTCCCTTGTGTGGTCCTCATCTTGTCCCTGGAATTTGAGCCAAGCGTCCATCCACATCAGGGACACCAGTGACAGACCTTGTACCTCAGGAAAGGATTGGGCACTATGATCTCTTTGGCCAGCGTTTTCTGATCTTGTGATCCTCCAGCCACTACGGCTGAGACATAAGGTTCTGGATGTTAGGTTTTTGTTTTTATTCTTTGTGGGTTTGCTTTTTTACATTAGGATTTTCATGTTGCCTTTGTTGCTATCACTGTATCTCCCTCCAGGCCCCTGCTAATGTGTTGACAGCCTGGGCACTCTGGCTGTATCCGTGTAGTTAGCTGAGATCCTGCCTACAGGAGGGGTGGACAAGTGCACACAAAAGGGCTCGGGGTGGCACAGGGGCTGAGAAGCATGGTTTGAACATCCAGTATGAACAGCCCACAGTCCATAGCGACTTGGGGTAGCAATGACATGTGTTCCCTATCTCTACCCACTCCGCCACACACACACACACACACACACACACACACACACACACACACACACTCATACAGCTGTCTCGGTGGCCTTGCACTGCAGGCTGCCCAATCAGGCTCATTTGGATTCCAGCTCCTGCCAGGGTGAGACAGAGCCTGAGACAGCTCCTGCTGGGATAAGCGAAGGCCTCTGATGTCACAGAGCCACTTCCCTGTTGGCTCCTGACCTTCTGACCCGCTGGCCACCTGTCAATTGCCTAGAGCCTGACTTTCTCTATTTGCTGAACCTGGAGGGTGTCCCAAGCCAACTCTCACTCTGTCCTTCTGGCCCTGCTCCCCACTGAGGCTGCTCCTCCTACACACAGCACTCCTTGGGGATACAGGCCACGTTCCAGGTCCCCACCTCCCTGAGCTCAGCCTGCTTGTGACCCTCACTGTCCAGGGACAGACCCAGCCTCCCCACATCCAGATGGCTCACACCATCCCAGAACAGATGCTAGTGGGGGGCTGAGTCTGTATCCCCAGCTACACAGGACATGGACCAGCTTTGGGGTCAGGTAGGCATCCATCTGAGGCTTTCTGCTTTAGACTTCTCTAGATAAGGTTTGCAAAGAATTTTTTTTTTCACTTTTTTTTTTTTTTCAGAACTAGGGATTGAACTCAGGACCTTGCGCTTGCCAGGGAAGCACTAATTCCACTGAGCCATCTCCCTGGCTACTTGCAAAGAATTTTTTTTATAATAAAACCAGCTTTAAACCAAACTTTAGGAGACTTCATATATAAAACAGTACGGGCACCGGAGCCCCAAGGGCCCTTCCTTCCTGACCCCTTCCTTCCACAGTAAGACCTGAAGTTTTCTGAGGCAGTGGTTGTGGTTTGAAATCCTCTGGCCTTTAGACATAAATCAGGTGATGAGGAGGCATCCAAGCCCACCCAGAGCACTGTCCTGGCCAACAAAGCATCTCTGCTGCCAGGAACAGGCGGAAAGGCAGAGGCTGGCTTTGGTGCACGCTGTGGATGCCAGCAGGAGCCACGTGGATCCTTGGCCTCATCCAGACTTAATTCAGAGCCAAAGGGAGGCTGACTCCTAGAGTTTATAGGATTTCACTGCAAAATCATTCAAATGAACCGTAAGTCTCTGGGCCAATCGCCAAAACCCACCACCAGCCCCTCAAGGGCCGAAATGCTCCCACCCTTTGAAGGGCAAGAAGCCTTCCCATAGTTCTCTGCTTTCCTGGTGGGTCCCTCCCCCGCCACCAGGTGCCATGTCAGGAGAACAGACACAGTCACACCGACA